GCCGGTACCTCTATCGGTACCCGTCAGTCCAGTCCAGTCCTGTCAGTCCGCTGGGGTATAACCCAGCCATTGTCTGTTTTCAGTCTCATTCTTCACTTGCACATTTCTGGAGTACGTGCGTTGGAGTCCTGCGTGGGAGCTGCGCTGTGCGTCATCTTGCTCCCCCTTCTTCCTCCATCTCCATCTCTACCACTAGCGGAGCATCATACCTAGTGGGTCCGCTACATTGGTATCCGAGCGGGAACGGTCCCCGGTCCCTCCCACCACCCCGTACAGCTGGGCAGCAGCCCGCACAGGCGGAAGAGCAGCAAAACCCGACAACGGTTTTTTTCGGTGTTTTTCGGGTATTTCGCAGCGAAAACGAGGGAGAAAAGTGGCGCATGCTGCAGGTGACACGTGGCGAAAAAGGGATTGGTGGAAACTGAAAAGGCAAAGTGGTGACGTACTTTGAAGGCTGCTGGGCTGCTCAAGGCCAAGGCCGCCGCACGCGCGTGCGCGCCACGCTGCCCCGCTGCCCTGCCCCGCCCCGCTCCCGGATTTATATTATCAAGATCCGGGATGCAACTGCTGTTGCTGGGGTTTGAACCCAGGTGGCTGCTGGGCCATGCGCGTGCGTAAGCACCCTGCTAACACACTCGCTATAGAGTATACATGGTGTTGTAACACGGCACACTCGTGTTAAAGAGGTGCCGTGCTGGCTATTTACCCCCCCCCCCCCCCCCGGCCGGCGAGCACTGAGCAGCGAGCAGCAGATCAATAACGGTCAGGCTGTTATTTCCCCCCCCCGCCGTTGGCTGTTGTTGGCTGGGCACGTGGCCATCTGCCCTGCCATGTGGCAGCTGGTGCTAGAACAGAAGACCCCCCTGCTTAGGGGGCTGCTCTACAGTGGTGAGGGCCTGCTCACACAGCAGACCCTAGATCTGCACATCTGCAGAACAGTTGCTGCTAGGGGCTGATCAAGATCTCAGCCCCCTTTCCCCTACAGCTGGCTTGCTGCAGTGAAGGCCAAGACCCTCCTGGTCTTGGTGTACCTTGTGCCCTTGGAGACACCAAGGGCCAAGTATCACTTCCTTCTCCCCTCTCCCTCTACTAACCCACTCTCCCTACCTCTCCTCTCTCCTCTTATTCACCCCTTCTCTTTCCCCCACCTTCTACTACATCTTTTCTCTCCTCCTTTTACCTTCCCCACCCCACCTTTCTCCCAACACCCAGTCTTTTACTCTCCTTTCTTTATTTCTTTTCTTTTCTTTTCTTCCTCCTTCTTTTCTCTTTGCCTCTTGATCCCTGTCCACCTTTCCCCATCCCTCCTCTCCCCCAACTACCACCACACCATCCCCCCTACCTCCCACTTCATCTTTTTCTCTCCCCCCACATATTTCTTTCTTTTCTCCCTCACTTTTCATTCCCCTTCCCCCCTACTTCGAAAATTTTTCTATTTTTCTTCTTTCCACCTCTCTTTTGATTTATCTTTTCTCTTTTCCAAAAATTCGAAATCTCTTCTTTCCCACCCTCTTTTCTGATTTTCTGATTCATTTCATTTGCTTTTCTATTTATTCTGAAAATTCGAATTTCTTGGCGGCAACCCTAAATCTGATTAGGTGTTAGCCTTTCTTGCTCTCGGCACACGTTTTGACCCCGTGGGGATAACGAAGTGCTGCCAAAATTTTCTGATTTTCTCTTATTCAGTCTTTTCGGCACACTTCGACCCCATGGGGGTAATGAAATGCTGCCAAAATTTTTGAAAAATCAGATAACCCATTTCTCCCCACCTCCTCACACACTTTTTTTTTTTTTTTATTATTTGCGGCATCCTTAGTGTGCTCACCTTGGTCTCTCGTTTTCCCTTGGCACATTCTTGACCCCGTGGGGGGTAGGGAAATGCTGCCGAAATTTTCAAAAAAATAAATATTGTTTCCCTTCTCATTTCTTTACTTATTTCTTTAATTATTTTTATTATTTATTTATTTTCTTATTTATTTTTATTTTCTCTTGAAATCTCGCTGTTTATTTATTTTCTCCCGTCCCCCCCCCCCCTATGCTTGCTATTTTACTTTCTTGATTAGATCACCGGTACCCTACCCTAACCACTTAAACCTCGGTTAGGGTTTTTTTAGGGTTTTTGTAGGGTTTAGGGTTCCTCAACCCCCCTCTACTTCCCCGTCCTCTTCAGGCACTCTGAACCCGAACCACCCCTCCCCTTTTGACGGCGCCCGTGCTAGCCTTGCTAGCGCCGTTCGCCGCTTTCTACCGCGGACTTCCCCCTACGCCTTCCGCTCACGCGGACCTCTTCTGGCCCCCTCCAGTCCGGTCCGTCATCTCCTCATGGCCGACGGTGCGTCACACGCCGCCGACACAGCGATGACCACGGCATCGGGCTTCACACCCGTGCCGGCGGACCAGGGCCATCAGCCCCAGGGGGATCTACACACCCTCCTCACCTCCCTCCTTGCGCCCATCCAGGCGCAACTCGCGACCCTCGCGCCCTTACAGGCGCAGGTGGCGACCCTTGCCGCCGGCATGCAGCAACTCCAGGATGCTGTGTGTCCGTCATCTCCTGGCTCCCAGTCCGGGTTCCCCGTCCCCCGACAGGGTGGCCACGGCGGAACTTCCTTCTCCGTTGCCCCTGACCCGGCCATCTTGGTGACTGTCCACGCCCCTAGCACGACGGCCACCACGAGCCAGCCCCCCCCTCAGTCTACGGGCGCACCCGCCCAGATCCCGGTCACTACGACCATGGTACAACAACCCGCTACCATGGTCTCAGCTTTTCCGGGTGCCCCACTTCTTCCTCCCCTTCGCACGACCGCAGCGCCACCTGGCTCTCCCCCCTCTGGGATGCCCCGCGCCGCTTGTGCGTCCACCCCCTCCACTCTTCCTCCTGCCACCCCTAGATCGACCTACTTTCGAGGTCTCGTGGCTCCGGGCCGACCTCGCCCTCTTACGCCTTCAGCTACCCCCACCCTCACAAGGTGGCCGCGCCTTCGGGTGCAACCCCTACCTCCTCTACCCTTCCTCCCATGCAGGCTCGCTTTCCGCGTCCTGCACCCTATACAACTCCTTCCTACCTTCTTCCTACTCCCGCGGTTGCTGCGACCTCTTCTACCGAAGCACCCTCGCAGCCTGCCGCTGTTGCCACCGCCGCTCCCCCATGCGACCCGGACGCACAGTCAGCTGCGCCCCTTTCTCCAGGACCTGCGCCGACTTACTCAGCCGTGGCACAGGCCTCCGCTCCTCGATCCCCTCGCCGCCAAAACGGTGGCGCCCCACTCATCCGCTTGTCGGACATTGCCTTGTATGACGGTATAGGCATACGTGTGTCTTGGTGGCTGCAGTCTGCCACCCGCACACTCCAGCTCATGGGCGCCACACCCGAGACGTGGGTGGGTCAGCTCTCAATGCGCCTGCGTGGTGGTCCTTTCGAGGCCTGGGAGGATTTCTATGCCTACTCCCTTCGTGAGGGTCGGACTCCGACCTTCGTGGATTTCCAGGCGTTCCTCGAGGATTGCTTCGGAGCCCGATACGTCGTGACTGACGCCTTCGAGCGTGTCGTCACTACACGCTGGTCCGGCTCTGGTGGCGCTGCCGGCCTGGATCGCCACATCCAGGTCTTTCAGGACGCCCGCCTCGTTTGCGACGTGGCGTTCCTCCCCGAGGCTGCCCTTATCGATCGTTTCTTKKCYAGCCTTYYGCTCGAGTACCGCTCCGAGCTATGGCGGTACGAGTTCACATCGGCCCCACAGGCTTACGAGGCCGCCAGGGACCACCAGCGGATGCGAGCCCATCTTCACCCCACCTCCTCCTCCCAGCCCCAGCGCACGGGCTACGCCTCCTCCGCCTCTCACGGCACTTCCCAGCGCCGTTCCCCTTTCCGCGGTCGCCCCCGCCGTTCCACGCATCGGGGCCGCCATTTCTCGCGCCGCTTCAGCGCGCTGGAGTATAGTGAGTGGGACGCTGTTTCCCCACTGTCACCTGAGGGCGACCACAGCGACGACCTCGATCTCTGCGAGGCCGTCCACTATCACTTGGAGGACTCTACCCTCCCTGCAGCTGAGCGCCTTCAGCTCGCGCTCTCCGCCCTCTCTCGGGTACGCAGCCGCCCCGGTCACGCTCGCGCGTCGCCCCTCGAGGTCCCTCAGGAGGACCTCCCTCAGGGCTTCGTCCCTCCTCGTGGTGTCCTTTCCGCTGAGGACCGCGCGGCTATTCTGGGCCGGCGTGGGTGTTTGCACTCCCGCTTGGACGGTCATACCTCCTCGCGGTGCCCTTACACTACCGCCCTCGACCGCCACTACGCTGACCTTTCTCGCGAGCGTCGTGCTCAGTCCCCCCCCGGCGCCTCATGTCCCCGCGGCGCCTCCTAGCCACGGTGCAGTGTACACCTGCGCCCTCCTCAGTAGTGGGTTTCCCGACATCTCCGTCGCGGTTTGCCCCTCTCGCTACTGGAGTTGAGGTATCACAGGACTCGACAGAGTGTACTCAGCCCTCTGTCGCAGTACCGTCTGCGCCTCGGCAGACCACCGTCTCCCCTCCTTCCCCGCCGCGACTACCGACGCGTCGAGCCATTCGCTCAGCCCGTTGCAGCGAGCAGCTTGCTACTCGCGAGGACGTTGTGTCCTCTCTTCTGGACTTGAGCATGCTCCAGGCTCGTCAGGAGCGACTCACCCTCCATGTCGCTGCACTGCGTCGCCTTCTTGCCATCCTCTCTGATCCTGATCGCACCCTCCCGATCATCCCAGTACGACTCGGGACCTCCACGAGGGTGTACTCAGCGCTGTGAGATTCCGGTTCTTAGGGCGACTTCATTCACCCATGCATGGTGAAGGAAGCACGCTTACCCACGACAGGGTCTCCGACTCCCATCTCCATTACCCTAGGGGATGACAAGACCCAGCGCTTCTTCGATCAGACGGTCACCGACCTCCCCTTCTTCCTCACTCTCGAGCCGACTGATCGCTCCCCGGTGTCTCGTCGCCACCGCTCCTCTGCACATTTCGATGTGATGGAGACGGGGTACGACTTCATTCTCGGCACTCCGTGGTCTCGTCGGTTCCGCAACACCGAGGCCGATTGGGCGACCAACACTCTCGTTCTCAAAACGAAGTGTGGACAGACGTATCGCGTACCTTTCATAGGTACCACGGCGACACCACGCCCCGATCCTCCTCCCCCAAGGCCTTCAGTGCCCACACCATCTCCCTCTATCACGGTCACCTCGCCTCGGCAGTTCGCTCACTTCATTCGACAGGACGACGTCACCTTCTTTATGGTGGACGTGACGGATCTCTTACACTATGATCCACCCTGTCCTGACGCTGAGCTCATCCCTCTGGAGCCAGATCCTCCCTCTATCTCCATGACTCCCATCTCTACTTCCGTCCCTCCGCCGTCCGTCGAGTCCACCACGCCGTCGCTCGCTGACGCTGACGCTGAGGAACTCGCACGATATACAGCTGACTTGGAGCCCGCAGTTCGTGACCTCATCCGAGAGTACCACGACGTTTTCCCATCGTCGTTCTCGTACGCCGGCATCCCACCGATGTGTGACGTCGAGCACTCCATTAGGCTTGTGCCTGACTATCGTATTCACCACCAGGCACCCTATAGACTCTCGATCCCCGAGGCCACCAAACTCAAGCGTTAGCTTGAGGAGCTCCTGAGACTGGGTTTCATTAAACCCAGCAACTCCCCGTGGGGTGCACCCGTCCTTTTTGCTCGCAAAGCGGACGGAACTCTCCGTCTCTGCATCGACTATCGCGGTCTCAACCGCTACACGGTTAAGAACAACTACCCCATGCCTCGTTCCGATGAGTTGTTCGACCGCCTAGCAGGCAACCGCTTCTTTACGAAGATTGATCTTCGTAGCGGTTATCATCAGATCCGCGTCGCTGCAGCCAACCAGCCAAAGACTGCGTTCCGATCGCGATTCGGCCACTACGAGTTCACGGTGATGCCATTCGGCCTCACTAATGCTCCCGCTACCTTTCAGAGGGCGATGAATGACATCTTAAGGGACATCCCGGAGCAGTACGTTCTCGTCTACCTCGACGATATCCTGGTCTACAGTCGTACCCTTGAGGAGCACCTCAGACACCTCCGCGATGTCCTTGACCGCTTGCGCAGACATGGCTTCTACGCCAAGCTGAGCAAGTGCCGCTTTGCCCAGCACTTTCTTAGGACACTACGTGTCTGACCAGGATCTCCACATGGACGACGCGAAGATCACTGCTATTGCGGAGTGGCCCGCCCCCACATCCGCCAAGCAGCTTCGCAGCTTCCTAGGCCTGACCAGCTACTATAGTAACTTCATCCCGGGATACGCTAGGTATTCCTACGTCCTTACCTCCACCCTCCTCCGGAAGAACCCACCCTGGGCTTGGACACCCCTTCACGAGGACGCCTTCCGCGCCCTAAAAAAGGCGGTGACATGCGCACCGATTCTTCACCTACCCGATTTTGATCGCCTTTTTATCCTTACCACCAATGCGTCAGACTTTGCTGTAGGAGCAGTGCTTTCTCAGGTCTTCCCCACCTCTCCTGATTCCTCTCATCCTCGTATCCCTCGCTTCCCACCACCTACCCCTACCACTGCTTCCCGACTGATGCCTACTCGTCCAGCTACTGACGAGCCTCCTATTGACTATTCTCCTACCATCGCCGAGGAAGGCACTGTCGAGACTCGCTCAGGTGATTGTCCGATAGCCTTCTACTCCCGTCAGCTCCTGCCCGCCGAGATAAACTACACTGCTGATGAACGTGAGGTTCTCGCAGTAGTTTATGCCGCTCGACATTGGCGTCACTACCTGCACGGGGCACCATTCACGGTGCGCACGAACAACTCTGTTGTCCAGGCTTTTCTGACTAAGCCGAAGCTCACTCCTCGATAGGCTCGCTGGTGGCGCGACCTATCCGAGTTTAGTATCACCACTGAGCACATCAAGGGTGAGACTAATCGGGTCGTAGATGCCCTATCCCGGCGCCCTGACCACGACCAGGAGCACATCCAACTCTCTTCCATCTCGGTCACCGCCATCCACCACTCGGTGATCGACGAGTTTCGCACTCAGTACCACCACTGCCCCGACTATCGCGACATCCACGCGACCCTTCGGAGTGGCAAGACCGTCCCAAACTACTCTCTCGGGGACAACGGTCTTGTGTACTGGCACGGTTCACAGGGCACCAGAGAGCCCCGTATTTGCGTTCCCTCCACTGGACAGCTACGTGTCCGAGCAGTAGCAGAGTTCCATGACCAGGCAACCGCCGGTCATATGGGCTTCCATAAGACGTTGGCTCGTGTGAACCGCCTGTACGTCTGGCAGAAGTGCAAGGACTTTGTGAAGGACTACGTCGCCGAGTGTCCCACCTGTCAGGAGGTGAACAGTGCGAACCACCTGCCTTATAGTTTGCTCCAGCCTCTTCCTATCCCTGAGGGTCGTTGGCAGTCCATCTCGATGGACTTTATCGGTCCTCTTCGTCCTCCGACCCCTCGCGGTCATGATGCTATCCTGGTTGTTGTCGACCGCTTCACGAAGCATGCACGCTTTGTTCCGTGCCGCTATGCCATCAGTGTACGTGAGGTCTCCGACATCGTGTTTGACCAAGTCGTGCGTGACCACGACTTACCTCTGAGCATCATATCTGACCGTGACCCGCGCTTTACCAGCCGATTCTGACGACGGCTCCACGAGGTATACGGCACTCAGCTCTGCTTCTCCTCGTCTTACCATCCTCAGACTGATGGTCAGACCGAGATCACGAACAGGACTCTCGAAGATATTTTTCAAAAGATTGTTCGTGACGACCAGCAGTGGGATCTTCATCTTGCCCACGCGGAGATAGCCTAGAACCAGGCCGTCTCGCCAGCCACGGGGATGTCGCCTTACTATTGCGACCTCGGCTATCACCCTCGTGTTCCCACAGACTTTCTTCGACCGTCACAGATGCACCCCGACACGAGTTGTCCCGCGCTGGATGATTGGGTTGCACACATGACGTCGATCATGAAGACCGCACATGAGCACATAGCTGCTTCCCAGACTCGCATGGCAGCACGTGCGAACCAATCGAGGATGGACCATCCATTCAAAGTCGGTGATGATGTGCTTATCGACGCCCGCCACTTACAACTCGAAACGGACACGCTTCGCAAGTTTCGGCGTCGCTTCTTTGGCCCTTGCCGCATCCTGCAGGCCTGATACGGCATCTAGCCCGGTCAGCTTTCGTGTGAAGCTGCCCGACTACCTACGCCAGGCTCGTGTGCACGATATCTACCACGTCTCGTTACTGCGTCCTTACCGCAGACCGTCTGAGCGTTTCGCTGGACGACCATACGAGCGCCCTCCACCCATCATGGTGGACGGTTACGAGGAGTTCCTCGTTTCAGACATCATTGGTCGCCGAGTCACCGAGACAACCCTCCCCACGTCGAGTATCTCGTACGTTGGAAGGGTTACCCTGATGAGGAGGCTACCTGGGAGCCCCTCGAGCACTTACAACACGCTCGCATGTTGGTGCGTGCTTATGACCGTGCTTGTCGTGCTGGGTTCACTGCTCCTCCTCAACCCACTGACCGTCCTCCTTCTCCCCCGGCTGAGGAGACTGCTGAAGTCGACCCTGCTCCATCTGAGGCCGCCCAGAAGCGGAACTCTACCAAAGAAAAGAAAACCTGAGTAGTCTAGGATGCGGAGCAAGCTCCATGCTGAGTCCATGCGATGCAACCTAGGATATAAAATGTCACAAAATAGCAATGTCACAGCTAACAGCCTAAGTGAAAGCAGAAGCAACTAACGAACATACATGTCCTAGGAAAGCAAAAGCAACTAACTAGCATACATGTTCTAGGAAAGCAGAAAGTAGTGACAACTAGATCCTAGAATGTTGGAGGCACTAGCCTCAGTCTGGTAACAACTGACTAGTGTATAAGTCCTAAGAACAGCAAAAGCAGAACAACTAAATCCTAGAAATGTCGGAGGCWKTAGCCTCAGTCTGAGAGCAACAAAGCAATCAACAAGACAACCATATGTCACATGAGAAGTGTGTCGCAAACCAAAGGGTGGGATGGTCTCTGAAGGTGGCGAATGCAGCCTAGGGGTCGAAAACTCCTAAGGGCATCCACACATAGTGACAGGGTAAAACATATGTCATCAGGCTCAAGGAGGGTAGGGAACTGGGAGCGAACAGAACCAATGACCCTAACAGATAGACCATCAAGGCGGGTAATGCTCGACTAAGGGGTGACCTCTATGGAGGGTCGACCATGCAAAGGAACAAGGGAGCCTGGTATACTGGGCGCACCTAGATGAAGCATGATGCGCTGTCTAACTAGGGCGTGAGGGTCGGCGAAGATAGAAAGATGATGGGTAAGGGAATCATGCAAATGACTCCTAAAGTGAGGGAAGTCAGAGCTAGATCCGTAAGATGGGAAGCCAGGGCAATGCTACGGTCCCGATGCCTATGCGTATACCAAGGGAGAGCCCAACTCAGAGGAACCCGACTAAAGGGAGACCATCATGAGACACAAGCAGGGTACTGTACAGGGTAAAGTGGTAAGAGAGTGGCGACGTCTGAAGTACGCAGAGCTGATCGTGACGAAGTCCATGGAGCTGTCGATGACGTCCACGATGAGAAGTCCGGAATGCCGTCGAGGAAGAGCCGCAACGTTGACGAGCCGAAGTAGCAAAACTGGAGTGGATGGAGTACTGAGAAGTCAAGGACGTGGGAAGGTAAGTCATAGTCAATCGTCGTATCGAGCAGGACGACGACGAGTGCGCTGTGGACGCTCAGAAACATCCGGCTGCTGCTGAAGGTCTGATGAGCAAGAATATGGAAATACACACTGCTTTCCAGCCATGCTACTTTGAGAGAGAGAGAGAGAGAGAGAGAGAGAGAGAGAGAGAGAGAGAGAGAGAGAGAGAGAGAGAGAGAGAGAGAGTTGCCTTCCCCCTCTCTTTAATTCTCACAATCCCTGCTTTTCTCGCCGCGGGCGGAGCCGCGGCGGGTCCACTTGTTTGTCCTTATTTCTAAGCCTTACTAAGATCCCGACACCGGTTCCGTGCCCGGGTCGCGGACCTATGAGCCTAACTCAGTGGGTACGCCTATGATCGGTTGGAGTATAGGCCGCGGTCGGGCCCTGGTGAGGGGGGGGGTACGATGGCTCCCCGCGAGAGGCCAGGCGCAAGGGTTGTGTGGCCTAGTAATAGTACCGAGGGGCCTTACCCCAATTTAGTCCTTCGAGACATCTGTTAAAGTCGGAACGATACAGAGAAGACTGGCGGGCCTGCGCGTATGTTGGCATGCATAAGTTGAGGAATGGCCCAAACACCACGGCTGTTATTTTTTTGAGTATTTCGACTTTCGTCGCAGCACGCTTCGGGCGCACCAACGAGAGATAGCGTTGGTAGGAGAGAGCGGAGTGTTGTGAGTGAAGCTGGGCAGCCGGGTAGAGAGCGACGGGCGTTGGCAGGGAGGATGAACCCGGACGAGAAGTCGCGTCGGGTGCTTGCGTAGAGAAGCAGAGAGTTTGAGGATGGCGGGGAAATATGTGGAGTGAAGTAGAAAACGATAACTCTTACAATCCTCAATCATTTTGGGCGAGAGAAGAGTCGGCTCGGAGGTTTTGGAGGTGGGCGAACCTAAATATGGTGTTAGTTTTAGTGAGGAGTCAGTAAATCGGGAGTTAGGAAGAGATGGTAGTGGGCAGAGGTGCCGAGAAGGAACAGGTGTGGTGAGATGAAAAACTAGGTGTTCGCTCGTTCCTTAACGGAATCGAGCGGGTAGAGATTTGAATAGGGGTTTTTAGGCCGCGGCGAGTATGATGGTAAGGTTAGATTAGGGAGAACGCTAGTAAAACGAAAGGTTAAAAAAAAAAAAAAAAAAAGTGCGTGAAGAACAAGCCGAGATCGGCTATGGAGAAAAGGTTGTGATGCTCTTATCGTATCTTAAGCAAGCATAAAGGAGGGGAGAGAAGATGCAGATGGGGTTATCGACAATGCAAATCCTTTGGTGAAATCGGACTTGGAGGTTGATAGTTAGCTTGGCCGCATAGTGAAAATGGGTTGCCCATGGGCATGGTGGAAACGAGCATTGGAGGGGACGACAATTTGGTATTCCGCTCGTTTCTGGGTGGGATTGAGCAAGGGAAGACTCTGATCGGGGGTCTTGGGTCGCTACGAACTCGATGGCCGCGATCGAATTTTGAGCCAGGCAACATTTCGACCAGCATGGGTTACAGGTGCTGCGTGTAGGAGTCAGGGTGTGAGCTAGCAATGTATCTTTCGGTGTTCTCTCGGGAGGTTCATTCTCACCAGACACACCTGTACGAGAGGAATATTGTACTCAACCCGAACATGGTGCTGATTGTTATGGCCGCCTTAACCGTGGTGGTGTTGGTCATCGTGCTCGAGTTGGAGCTCGGCATATCCTCCCCGACCCTCTTCAATCGCGGCAGTCGTGTCTCGCCGTGAATATCCCAGAGAAATGTGTAGCGAACCTGGTTGTATTGGCGACCAGGTGGAAACACATAGAGAAAGGGGGTGGAAGCTTACCTGCCTGTAGCGCTCGTTTTCGTTTGGCAATAGACTTCCTTTTGGTGGTTGGCAGAGCTGTCGGAAGTGTGGGAATGGTAGGTGCAGGCTAGTCGGAGGAAGGATAAGTGGGCGTACCTGGCAAAGTGAAGGTCGGGTCACGACTGCTACATAACAAACATTGGCGTACAAGTGTATCTTTCGGCATCTTAGCGGAAGATCCATTCGATTTTGCTCATTTAAGTGAAGGGAATAGCGCGAGGCCAGCCGAGGTCGATGATTATATGTGGACCGGCATGCTACTCATCCTACTGAGTCGGGGGGGGGGTGAGAGACAGTTGGGCCGAGGCTGCAGAATGGCCAACGTGACTAGGGCACGCCCCATTGCGCAGGTCTAACGAACGGAGGTCGGGCTGCTAGCGTGAAGGCCCTACCGTCAGTTGATGCATCGCCTACTCTGACGATTTGAGCTAGTAAGGATGGGGTGGGGTGCTACCTGCCTGTTTGGGCTTGCTCAGTCTGAGGGTCGCCCCTTCATGGAGCTGCTGCTGGTTGCTGTTAACCGCCAAAGGGTGACTCGGGCTGAATGCTACAACCAATATTCGACATTGTAGGTACTATTGGACTGCTGAACAACACGGCAGCGTGTTGAGGCTTGCGTAGTACGCTGCTGTTACATTCGGCAGTTGCGTGCTAAGTGCAGTACATATGGTGGGTTGCTGAGACTCCGTGAAGCTATTGGTATTTCAGGTTACTGTACAACAGCGACTGGTTCAAGGCGAGGTGCTGTGACTAAGGAGAGGGGTTAGTACAACGACTTGGAGCCTTGTCAGGGTGCTGTTTGTCGGCAGTCTAACGTCAACAGGCCAAGTTACGGAAGCATTTTGGTCGCCATTGTGGGGCCCTCAGGCGGTAGAAGATAACAAGGCCCTCTCGCATGAGTCTAAGAGCACCCTTCTTGGATCTGAGAGACTTAATGCTTCTCTATCTGCCCTTCTTACTCTAAGTCTAGTCTACTTGGTTCTAAGAGGAAGGCGGCAGGCGGGATTGCAACCCGTAATCCGTGCCAAGGCCTCTGCGGGAGGTTCGCCCCATCGATTGAGGGAGTTCTGTCGAAACTCAGGAGGAGTTCTGGAGGCAGGGAACTGAAAGGTAACCATTTGTTTTCCTTTTATAAACCCAATTATAACCCCTATCTGTACATCTGTCTATGTTTGATTGAATGTATTGTATGCAGCCCTACTTTGACTTTTAGTTTGACTTTGAGGACATGAGTCAGAATAAGTAAAGGAATGTATGTGCAATGACAGTTTCAATTTTTGTTTGTCTGAAA